ATTCCATTTCGTTTTCAATCATTCCTCGCGTTTCGTTCCACCTACTTTCAATCCATTCCGTTCCTGTGAGCAAAACACGTTTCGTTCCGTTCTATTCGCGTTTCGTTCCAAACAGTGAAATTATTTTCGTTCCGTTCCGTTTAGGCCTTGTTTCATTCCGTTTTCATTTCGTTCTCGTTGCGTTTTCATTGCGTTTTCATTCCATTCCGTTTGTCAACTGAAACGCTGACACCCCTGTAAATGGTCCGTTCAACCAAACAAGGATTTTATTAAATCATTGCTCTCTATTCTCTATTGTAAGGGTTATATCAAGGTTTTGCTGCATTCAGCAAATGTTTTGAGTCTGTATACAAATAGCCGCTGGGAACGTTTTCTATTGAAAAAACACACACCAAAAAACGAGGAAAACTACGATGATCTTGTCGGCTATTTAGCGTAAGGCTCATTAATCGTCAGGCATTTAATGGTGATCCCAAATGATGTACAATCATAACGAAACAGATAGCTTTCAACAATTCTAGCACTGCCCAACCACGTACTCATTTACAGTAGACTGAAACAAGCAGAGAAAAGTATCTTGCTCAAGGATACAACACAGTCCTTAAAAACCGAATTATGCTTCATCAGATGAATTGCATTTGAGACGGTTGTAAAGTGTTCAGACGAATATCATTATAATCGTGCATGTTGTTTCTTACATAGATGTAATATCATATTATATGCTGTCGTCATTATATTTTGATATTGGGATAAAGGAATTTTCCGTGAACTGTAGATAAAATGGGCTATGTGCAGCACCTGTCATAATGAACCAATCATAACATAACGCTGATATTACAGAGTAAATAAGGTGAGAGTTCGGTGATACTAGTAGTCGACCTTAAGTTCGTAGTTTATCGTCGAGACATGAATGCATGCGAAAGTATTTTGCAGCGTAGAATATTACGTTTTAGAAACTTGGAATTGATTATGGCAGAGTTAATGAGTTTGAGGTATAGCAAGTTTCTGACTCCGTTCGACCAAAACTGTATTATTGGACACAGTTATGCCCCAGTTTACCAAAGACTTGATATATTACGTCAAAAGGACCTTTTAAATACATGTTATAAGCACACCATAAATCAAATAACAAAACAACGTGTTTTATTTTACAGCCTAAAGCAAGGTAAACATCATTGGTAAATGAAAATGGTATTTAAAAATAGCTGCATCCAGACAATAAATAATATCAATCGGCACACGATTTTGAAATATTTGTATTAATTATAACATTAACAACAAAACAGACTTCATTGGTAATTAGACAAGTGCTCGTTAAATACGTAATATATGTAAAAGTTTTATTTTCCGATCAGGTATTTGCCAATTTCCCAAGTTTTTCAAGCCACTCGTCTGTTCCTTGCTCCTTTTTCAATTTGTCTATGTTACCAACATCCTTCCTAACCTCTGGAACAGTAAGAAGTATGTTACCCTGTTTTCTTCTCTGCAGTTGTGCTCGTCTCCACATCATGCATTGTAGCTTCTTTCTTTTGTTGCCAGGTTACATCGGGTTGATCCGGTGGTAGGGCACCTTCCACATTTCCTATGATAAGATCATAAAGTGGCGTTTCTGGGACACATGCATCTTTAGTTCACCGAAAATAGGGTGTATCTAGGTCTTTTTCCGCAATATGATCAAAGAAACGCGACCCCTCAGCTAATGTACAAATCTAGGTTCGATCCGTTAGTTTGCCTGAGTCGAGCAGTTCCTTTCTAATGACAACTCTACCGCAACCTGAGTCCGTCAGAACGGATACTAGTTTTCTTCCCACACAACCTCTAACAATAGGCATACCGGTTGATCCGATACTCCTGATATTTCATAATACACTCAGTTTAGGTATTTCTGTGACCTTGGCCTTGCAATCAAAAGACAAATGTCTTATTTTTTTTCACAGGTATAACAGCGTTTCTCCCTTGTAGGTACTGTAGCTACAAGAGTTGTGTCCTTTCCGGTATTATTCAAACCTGTATTTCCTCCAAACCTCGTAACTTTGGACACGAATAAGTGGACTTTCATTCCTCTTTCTTTAGCAAGATGATCTGCCAGTTTTGACATCTCCTGTACCGACGTAGGAAATATCTTCTTCAGGAATGGCGTCAGACTTTAAATGCAGTAATGTAGTACATGTAACTGATCCCTGAGAATAGGTCTTTAAACGCCACATACGTCTTCTCCGTCTTGATCATTTCGATCCATATCTTGAGATAGCTACCATTTTAGATTCGGCAACAACGCATAGTGATCTGAGGTGATATGACGGGAATTTTATTAAATCATTAAATTATGAAAAATATGAACCCTGTTCCTGCTTAATTAAAATAGGTACGTAAAGGAGTGTTTTCATTTTATAAATGTTTGCAATGTGGAATTTTGTCGCATATGATTTTCTAGACATCCTAGTGATAAAATGATCCATATCAAGTATGTCAGATTGATGTGTTGCTTCGCGTTCTTGGATAAGTTTTCGTAACAAACAGTAATAAACAGATAATCTAATAGTGTCTTCAGTAAAATACTATCAATCATAATTTATTTTTGAAAACATATCATATCCAAGTGCACATAACTACTTGGTCGTATTCTCCTCGAAGTTATCTAGGGTGCCCATCTAAATCTTTCCTTTTTATCATATTTGTCATTGCTTCATTGATTTTGACATCAACATACCGTTTTGTTCAAAACGTTGGTATAGCCTCTTTTTTATTCTGAAACCTACCAACCAATATAACATATACAGTACCAGTTATTCAGGATACTTTATGACATCTGAGTATGCTTGCTCTTGTAGTGTGTGAAGCCGGTTTTTATGGAAGTCAGTGTTTACAGTCGTGTGGCAGTTGTCAAGGTGTGAGTTGTGACAAGGACACTGGAGATTGTACGACAGGGTGCACAGATGGATGGACTGGAGACGAATGTGACAACAAGGGTAATATTCATATGATATCCCTACAATAAATATATTTGTGACTTTATCCTCTAAAAACAATTTCTAAAAGTGTTCTCCTCAGTGTTAAAGGATTTAAAAGATTTTATTCCAACCTAACATGTAGAATATGATATCAAAGAAACATCCCAATTCGAAAATTGAAAGGAGGAACAAGAAACAAAAATGATAACTAAGGGAAAATGTATGACATACGCTGTGAAAATTCATCACTTTTTATGTTATAGTGGTACTTATAACGAATGGGGACTCCACAGTCGGAATAGGCGTCGGATCCGGAGTGGTTATACTGGTTCTGGTCATCGTGATCATTGTACTGGTCAGACGTCGCACGATGACGCGCGGCGACACCACAAGTTCTTCTCATATGACAGATATATCATTGTCGAGAACTGCAAACGAGCTAAAACAAAATCAAGGTAAACATCTACTGCATTTGTACATCCACATTGTAATTCTTTAACGTTTAAAGCAAATGTTTAAAACATGAGAGTTTACAATGAAAAACGTACAAATTTCCAAATGAACTGGTTTCTGAAAAGAAAACGCGATACCTTGAATGCACATTGCTCCTACTTTTAAACTAACTTCAGACGGTGTTAGGATATTTCAACCTTACGACTCATTAGCTCATGTTAATATTATATATTTTTGGTGCATTTTCCAGATAATTCCTACGACGAAATAGCAACGTACAACAAGGAACGAACCACTGCGCAGATTTCACACGATGAGGCAAATTATGAACAGCTTGGACGCAGGGAGGTGGAAATTCCAAATGTATACGAGACAACAGATTTTGACAAGGAAACATAGGGAAATGCTTCTTGTAAAATGGACATTCAACACAACGTAACCTGGGTGCTGGAACTAAATTACAGAGATATAACTTTTGTTTTGATGAATTCGTTTCCTAACTGAACATAATAGTAAGTAGGTGATGAACATTGACAGTGTTGTAGATTGTTTATGTTCAGTTCTTGTATGATTTTTAAGTTGTCAAACTATCGGAATGTCAGTTTTGTGAACCCAAGCATGTATCGTATATGCTGTCAGTGTTGAGGTTAAATGTATGTTCATACTGACTTAGTATTTCGTCGTTCTGTACAGCAGTTTATATATTTTATATTACTGTAAGACTTTTGTATTTATCGCAGTTTACCATTGCAGTGAACTGTATATAATTTGTCATTTTACGATCCCAGAAGTTATTTTGAGGGATGAATGTTTGGGAGTAGAAGTATAAGTAGTTTTGAGCAAGTTTTCAAGCAGTGTTAGATAAGCACACATTTGACAGGTGGTTGACTAGTAATAAGGTTATATGAAGCATACAAAATGCGTTGAATACAATATATCTGTATCTTAATGGGCTCAAAGAAATATTTTGATCGAAGGCAAAAGTGCATGTCTGGGTTTTTGCTTTTGCTTTTGTGCAGTGTTAGACACGTGTCGAAAGGCTATATTAAAAAATATGCATTTATATAGACACTGAGTAATGAGTAGAAGAATATTAATATTTATTGTTTTTTTAAAAGAGATTTCTTTGCATTGAATGTTGCAATAAGTAGGTGTTCATCTGCTTTCATTATTATTTTTATGAGCAGTATTTCACCATCTCAATAATTCAGCTATTCGCTATCTAGGATAACAATGGAGTGAAACAATTCTAAAATGTTTGAATAGTTTCAAAATATTTATATATATATCTAATCCTACAGGTTTATTCAGATATATTTGTCACCTGCTGGTCACTATTGTATGAGAATGTGATTTAATGCGGTTTAGCAAAACTGTCAGCACATTACATTACGTTTAGTATGCCCCCCAGCCATAAAAGGGGGGGAGGGAGGGAGGGGGGCATATATAGTGTTGCCAATATCCGTCCCGTCCCATGAGCGAGGGCATTTATAACTTACAGACATTTTCTAGTTATAAATATATCATTAATTTGCAAGGTATCCAGTCTTTCTGACAACTCTTTTTATGTAATATAAGCATACATACATTGTAGATATCATGTTTCTCTCAAAATCTTCGTGTTAACTAAGAATGCATAGCTTAATTGCTAGTAATGCTTTGTTTTTAATTGCAAAATATGACTTAATATTCATCTTTCGAATGCAATTTTTACGTACTCGTTTAGCTTTTAATGTTATTTTGTGTGGGAAATTTCCAGGTATCAACACGTACGAAGTATTCTCAGATTATTAATTCCAACCACATGGACCGCAAAGAGAAATACTTTCCATCTAATATCAATTTCTCTTCACTTATTATGATATCGGTAGGATGTTATTTGTCTAACAAAACATTTTACAATAAAGTGCTATTTACCATTCCCTATACGTTGAAACATACCAATCGGTTTTTTGTTATATCTTTACCTACGTATTGGTTAATCAGTGGTGTTTAGTAATTGATATACATTAAAATGATGTCAATTATAAATGCGTTAAGGGTTATAGCAAACACTGCTAAAAGCTGCACATATGCATTGGAAGCTTTGTTCCAGTATGCCTTCATCTTTGATATTTGATCGAAACTTTCGGGAAAAAATACTGTGTGAATTATTTTTAGATTTAAAGCATCAAATAAGTTATCAAGTGAATTAATAAATAATGTGCTCTGAATTAAAAGCAACGGGGCTAGACAAGGATTCAAACTTAGACCCTCTATCATTATATTGTCACTCTAACTAACTAAGCTACCTGGCTACAGTTGTTGTACCCATGTCTTGTCGACCAAGAGTCATACAATATCCAAATTGAGATTAAGGGAACCCAACTTTATGTAAAAAAATCCCTACATGAACTTTATAGTTTTATTTTTCAAGTTGGATAGAGGTCCTTAAAACGACTTGATTCATGCTTTATTCTTGTATGGCATGGGCACTAGTTTTGTTTCCACACAAGGGAAGGTTGCTTTGTTTAAAACAAAGATATAACAGGTATGTTATACCAAAACACATAGACTTAACAAATATGCTACGTTACTAGGCATTTTATGTACGTCACATTCACCTAAATACACATCACGTGTTATCTCATCTGGTCGCCGGAATTAGTATTCTTCCACCTCAGACAAATATCTCCCGCGTCAAACCCCCGGCTAGTATTTTCTTTCTGGTCTGATATCTGCGTAATATCTTTAAACGAATTTGTAAAGAGCGATGTTTTCATCCGTGCGTTAACGGACAACAGTTTTATTCTTTCTTTGTCACGTAGCTTTAGTTGTGTGGAGGCCATGTTAATTTTGAGTCCCCAGACGGGATAGTTGTAGTCATAAGCGAAAAAAATATCTTTTGTTCGATCTCGGAGTTTCGAGAAAAAAATGCCTATTACTTAGCGAGATCGGGCTAGGTATCTCAAACATATCATGTTACAGATTCTTAGCCCTTGACTTGGATAACCCGATCTCGCTCAGTTGTAAGTAATGTATTTTATCAAAATATCGCCTGAAACTGATATTACTTAAATTCATTGAAAGTCTTCGTTATACAAAGTCACAGAACAAAACCATTGTCGTAGATTGTGACGTATCCTCAGTATATATATTTCAAGTTACTACGCGACAAGCTATACTATAGTTGTATGGGTATATGGAGCAAAATAATTCTGCAGATGGAACACGACTCTTTTAGCGTTTGCTTGTCGACAATGACCACCCTAAATATGTTTATGATGTAATTACATGTTTTGTATCATCTGTAGATTTCTTTTTATGTTTTTAATTTGATTAATACTAATTAATACATGACAGCAAATGTATTGAAAACACAATATTAAAACAGAATTAAATAATTTTTTTGGTATATTAATCGTCGTGCTTGAGAGTAAGGTAAATAGAACTTGATAGAATATGTTTTTTAATAAAGCAGCTGCCATACATATTACTATCCCTGTACGATTGACTTCCTAAAATGTGTTACAAACTGATTTGTGAACTTGAGCAAACATTACTTGGCATTATGGGAAAGAAAAAAGAAAGGAAATCATGTACGTGCTCTATCTTAATCTTAATGTCTGATCGTTGTCCATCGTTTAAGACGAGAAATGTGTATTGTCCCCTGCTTTAATCGGTCCTTGCTGTGGTGTCTATCGCATTACACCGTAATATGGTGTATACTGATTATGGGATATTGGGAAAACTAAGAAGGCTTTTGCTTTCTCTAAATGCATGATGTGGCATGAGGTACTAATATTCCTCCGCATCGACAAATATAAGTCGACTCAAAGTATTTTGAAGTTTTCAAAGACAGAACTTTGTTGGTAAACAAAACTGATAAGAAAATGCTTAGATGTTCATATCTCAAAATCTCCAATTAGATTCTGATGGCGACCTTAAACTGTGCCAGTAGTCTTTAACAAGCTATATCCTTCGAAGCTTAATGTAAATTTGTCAATCATGAGGGTACACTAAACAGATCGCCGGATATGATATATACTTGTCTAATACACATGACTGAGCATCAAGAAACAGGTGATACATGGGCACCACAGCTGACTTAGCGTCAATGTCCGCGACACAATACGTCCGGTATCTGACAATCTACATTGACCGTCGAATGCAAGCCAAAGCATGGTACTCGAATGATGCCGTGTCAATAACATAGTATCGCATATGTTACTTAATCTATAGTTTTGACTGATGATGATGTATTACACCTTTTCAACTCAATGTTTTACGGAATTTGTATTTAATATGTTGATATTATTTTATATTTACATTCTGTATGTATAGACCCATTGACACAAATTTCATTCATAAATGCATAACACAGGTGTTCATAGAATTTCAGCACGTGGCCTGGTGTAAAAGATAGTAACCTGATCACACTGCGTAGTAATACACTACAAAAACTACTCACTCGGAACGACCGACCTAGATGCCTAATTCTTACATCTTAAAATAAACTTGAATTTTAACCCAAATAAATGTAAATTTCTGTGTTATTTATGTACTATGGATACATACTTTGCATGCTGTAAATTAATATTTTAAAAAAGTCCACACCTCAGCATTAACGGAAGTTACACTGTCGTCTGATGCATCTGTCAAAATGAACGTCCCAAAACAACTTAGCTGTCAGCTGGACGATGAAACAATACCCTTTGAGCTGGAACTACCCGATCACCAAGATATGTCAGACGATGAAGTAGAGAGATCTATTTCTACTCTGGATTTTTCATCAATCAGTGAATTGAAATCAGCACAAAACATTGAGGTAGAACTTGCCGCGAGTGCTGACCCCGGTATCCCATCCCCCGGGCAGCCGGTCCGGAGTGACCCCCCCTCATCAATCACCTGTCAACAGATTCGTACCTTCCCGGTTTAAAAAAGGTTACAGAGGAGGAGTGGAAATCCTTTGAAGATGCCAACCAATCTTTAGCAACAAGGAGAAATACACAATGAGGATTATTTTTATTCCAAGGTAATAATTCACTTCTCCCCCCCACCCCAACCCCCTTCCATGTTTAAAACTAACGGAAGTTAATATACTGTCTCCGCTGATGTTCTTGATGTTGTTGAAAGTTATCTTTCCGTATAACTGCATAATAACAAGTATTAATGCTGATGAAGTAAATTCGGTTGTTGATTTTGATTACACAAGCAATCGAAAGCACTTCATCATTACACAGAAGACATTTTTTTTTTTCAGAATGGAGCATGGAGACGTCTGGGGATTATGTCCCATTCAACAAATTACCCACAGAGGAATTGGCAAACAAATTAAGTGCATTCTACTGTTAAGCAAAACCCAGAAAGGTTGAGAAGAGAGCGAAGCAAATACCAGCACGATAAGCTGATGAATATCTCAAGAACACTTTGCAACATTTGTTTTGCATATCGA